CTCACACTCTGCCACTGCACAGAACCATGTTGCATTTTCCAGGTATCATTGTTTTTGTTTGTTTGTTTGTTTTTTCTGTATCAGTAATTATCTGATACCATAACCCCACTCCAGAGATCTTAATTTAAATTCTAAGCAAAGAAAAACTAAAAAACCCAAAAAACAAAAACCCTAGAGTAAAATTTGAGTAGTTAACTCAAAGTTATAAGAATGTGTGCCCAGAGGAAATGGTTTCTATTTTGTACATTTTTTTCCTGAAAAGGTAATCAAAAATGGTAATTAACCAAATAGAGATGCTGTCTTAAATGTACATGGTTCTTTACAAATAGTAGAGTGTGACTACCTGTCTTACTATTTGCTTCACAAAATACTGAGAGGAGTAATATCTTAATAAGTATACAACATTTGTAATCAAAAATTAATTATTTAATACTCATTTCTATATATATTATTTGAAATCTTGTTTTATTTGACACTGCTGGGCCCCGGGTGTGTAGGAAAAAAACCTCATTGTTAAGGGACACGAAAGATCCACGCGCGAGTGACATACGCACAAATAGCTGGAACATAAAGAACTGACCCTGGTCTTTATCAGATTAAACAAAACAAAACAAAGTCTTTGCTTGTCGTGAAGTATGGATAATTATATTATGGACTCTGCAAATTCAGAGATGGTTGGTCCTTTGATCTGAGAACAACATATAAAGAGTTATTTTTAAGGAAAGTTTTTTTTTTTTTTAAAGCATGTCATGAATTCAAAAATTGCCATCATGTCGAATAGGTTCACTAGGTAAAACAGAGAAAAGACAGTTTATTACAGAGGAAGCATCTAATTTTTTGAGGCCATTGGTTAAGGTGATGATTATACTGAACCTGGTATTAAAATTGTACTATGAATAAGGTTTATAATCATTTTTCTAAAAATAAAAATTTAAAATGGGAAGTGGCAAGTTAGAAATATACATTCAAAGTCCATACATTCAAGTGTATTTTAGTACACTCCAATTAGTTCAAAGAGAAATAACAATATCAAAGGAGAAAATGAGATAATATCATACACCACTTAAAGCCTCAATATTGATGAGGATTACAAAGCCCCAACACTGTTGATCTGAAATTGTTGAAAATTTTAATCCTAAAGCAAATAGCAAGAAATAGCACTTTAGAAACTTAGATTTGTAGCTTAGTTCCCCAGATGTTTTGTCATTTTCTTCTTCTTTTTTTTTTTTCCAGCAGAAAACTGACCTTATGCATTAAAAGGAAGAATGACAGGTTGCAAAAAATCATTCTTGGTCTGGTATTTGCTTAAGAATGTTTAGTAATGTTGCGGAGAAATAAGTTTTAAGATTTTGGAAGATTAATTTCCCTCAAGTATCTGACTATGTAAGTTTTTTCAGAAAATCATTATAGAATTTTACAAGACTAAAAGATTGGCTCAGGAAATTTTGATTAACGTAATGCTCCCTAACGGCTTTTTTAATTTCAGGGGATGGCACAAGCCTCTATTATGAGTGTTTAAAAACAAATTTCTTGAGAATAGCCTCATGATTCTGCAATACTAATTACTGCTAACTATCAGCATTCAGAAACACATCATTTTCCTACATTATTTAACAAAATAGACAACCTTGTTCAGAAAGATTTTTCAAAAAACAATGAATAAAAATCTTCAGTAAGTATAGGGGGGCTTTTTTCCCTTCATTACATAAGTCAGTACTTTCAGAATAGCACTTGGCTTATGAGCATTGGAAAACCTACACGATTGGTCAGTATGTTTTAAATGCACAAATCCAGAGAATAAAAAGCTAGAGGAAACCTGGAAATACTCTTGCTCTTCCAAAAGTCAATACAATCAGAATCCATGGCACTGAGTGCTACAAGAGTGTAAGCATGTGAGACACTGATGAGTATGAAAAGCCTACTGTAGGAGAAAAAACCAAATTTAGAAAAAACAGTAAAGTCGACCTCTTTTTTTTAGCAAGAGCTTCATTGTATCGAGTGGGAAAAAAATACAGTCTAAGAATTCTATGATCAACCAAATGTCATTCATGTTTTCAATCAACAATTTTAAATCATAAAGGCTCAGTGTACATACTTTTGTATTCAGAAATGCAGAAAGACACACTTGGAAGACGTCAAATCAATTCCTAAGTCTACTTGGAATTCATTCTACAGATGGAGATATACAGTTACATACACACAAACACATATTTTATCTATTTATTCATATACATACAATTTTCCCTTAGAAAAGAATTAATTTTAAACTAATGGCAAATTAGCCATCTTTATTGCCTTCAATAAATAAAATTTTATGATGGTCATGCAAAATTTTAATTATTAAAAAACCACAAGACTCCAGTGATATATACTTGGTATTGCCATAATGATGCCTTACCTCAGGCATAAAAATCAGAGTTGTGTTTTAACCAATCTACTGCTCTGAAATTTTATGATAATCTATCAAAGATTGAAGGCGAGGGCTCTAAGGATACCATGTATGAATAAAGCACATAGTTACAGACAAAACAAAAACTATGTAAATATAAATACATATACATAAACATATATATCCTGAAAATATACAGGTCAAACAAGGTGAGTCCTTGCGGATTCCCATTTGGACTGATGGCCTTCTAGTCAGTTCATCTTTGCGTATAAAGGGAATGAACTTTTATCATTTTAGCCTGGTTGCACAAGACATAGGTATAGCCTTGTGGATGGTTTGTATGTTAAAGTAACTCCTTAAAATATTTAATATTTCAAAAACAGGATCTAAATATTGAACCAAGATAGCATCACAAAGCTAACAGAAAGAAATACTACCAAGTGTTTTATTAAAGACCTGTGTTGCAACAGTAAATAAAGCAAAGATAGAAATCATAAATAACAAATAATAGGTATGCATTTTACAAGAACTGGACTCCAACCAGAGGATCTGTGTGCACGGAAAGGTCTGGTTTGACACTTTGGCAAATCTTTGGGAGAATCACTAAATAAATAATTAAAATAAAATCTTAAATAATATGCATGTAGCTTTTAATGATTTCCCGCTCAAACCAAATAGGTAGACTGTAAGACTACTTCTTCCAAAAACAATGAGAAATGGAGCATGTAAAATTTTAGGTTCATTTCAGTTTTCTCTCTTGAATTAATATGTATTATATCTATTTTTTTAAATTTAAATTTATGAACTTAAAAATGGCTACATAGGCTATCAAGTACAAAGAGTATCATTTCATAACAGTATGCTTCATTGAAACTGTTTTTCAAATCATCCTGATTCGTAGTATTTCCCAATTTCCATGGTGTAAATACAGAGAAAGGTTTCTTTCTTCAAGTATCTTTGCAAAACTGTAACACAAACAGTTGCTGCAATTTTTTGTTTTTAAAATAAAAATAGTACATGCATTTCCTTCTGGAGTATGCTGTATGAAAATGATCATATCACTCCCATTCTTAAAAATGGTCTCTATTTTTAAAAAATGGTCTCTATTTCTATAGCTTAAGTAGACTGCAACACCTAAGGATTAGCATTAGGAGTGGTAGGATTATAGTCATAGAAACTCCATATAGACCCAGTGTTCTGTTCATAATTGTTATATCTTGGTTCATAGTCTTTATCTTCTTTTAGATATCTGGTTAATTCTCCTACATTTCCCTGTTTTATGCATGACATTAGAATATTTTAGTAATATGTTTTCGGTTACATATTAGGTAATGTCCTGGTAAACTGGCATTCTGAAAACCAACAAGCAAATAAACAGACAAAATAGGCCTAATTTATCACATTTATCTATTTCCACTTTGTAAATACTCCTACCATGACCAATTCAAACCATCAAAGTGACACCATTCAATGTGAAGTTGGAAAGAGCCTATCTTAGTGAGTTGGTACAAGTGGGCTCCAGTAGAACGCTGTGATGAATCAGTAATGCCTCAAGTTTATTTATTCTAATAGTCTATCAAAATATACAGGGACTTTTTTGGTGGGTTCCAATACATTTAAGAAAATGACAGAGAATCATTTTAGCATAATTAAAATGTTAAGCAATGGGCAGCATTTTATAAAACTATGAAATGACAGAAAAACACCTTCCAAATAAGTATTTAAATAAAATAAAACGATAGGTTGAGGCTATTTTGTGATAAAAAATATTCATCATAAGCAATATCATTGAAAACTTGTAAACTGTATGTTAGAGTTTGGAAAATGCGAATGACATTTAATTATTATGCATTTTGAGAATCAAGCATCTTATAACATTTGAAAGAAAGCGATAAAATATATTTTTATGGCCCTTCAGATACATCTGTAAAGTCCATTATTTTAAAATGCTTTTGATGTAATAAAGTATATAGTATCTAGAAGTAGACAGTAACCTAGCACAGGAGTTGGCAAATTTTTTCTGTAAAGAACCACAGAGTACATATTTTAGTCTTTATAGACCAGTTAGTCTCTGTCATGAACACAGTTCTGTTATTGTAGTGGAAAAATATCCATGTTCAACATGTAAATCGATGATCCTTGCTGTGTTCCAACAAAACATTGTTTACAGAAACAAGCAGCAGATAGATTTGGCCTGTGGGCTGTTCATGGTTTGCTGACCTGACTTTAGTGTGTACTAAATCATCTGGTATTTTACAGTTCTGATTTCAATATAATTTTTTTTAGTATTTATAAAAAACTAATCCCAATGATGAAAGTGGTTTTTTTTAATAATATTGCCCAAGTCAGTAAACAATATTGACTAATTAGTGTTTCTTAAACAACATAATCCCATAGCAAACCAACAGCCAAAAGGACAATGCAAGTGAAAATAAAATGAATATAATTGTGAACACATTTTCTTTTATATTACTACACCAAAATTTCATAATTAACTATAAGGAGAGAGGTTTACCTAGACAGTAAATAAAGAGGAAACTTGCATATGAAATTAAAATATACTTAATAGGAGTACATTCATCTTAATTTACTATGAAATCCTTATTCTTACCTTCTATAAGTTTCCCTGTCTGTTCTGCACTTCCTCCAGGAAGAATTTTGGCAATATAGGCTCCAATTTCTCCATTATGTCCAGGGATTTCTTTACCACCCACAATTCTAATTCCTAATCCATTACCTGTATTGGAAAATTAGCAAATTATTAGTCGTAATTTAAAGGGACAACAGTTATCAGAAGTTATAAGGTGCACAAAGAGTTGGCTCTGGTAAAAAAAAAAAAAAAAAAAAGTGGGCTCTCGTACCCAGAAGCTATCTACAACATGAATGCTGGGACTGGACACTAATAACAGAAGGATATTATTCTGAATTCAGTAATAGTTGATATGAAATAGGGCATTCTGAGATTTTGGTAGACTCTATAATGAATCACCTGATACAAAAAAAATAATTCTTTGATTCAGCCATATCACCAAGCTATGATACAAATATCTTTGTGCATTTTTGACCAGATACTTTGTAAAAATATTATATGAAGATGTTCCCACTATAAGAAACTCCAGAGCCTACAGTTCACTTATGAAATTGAGGAGCATTTCACTTAAAAAGGCAGTAATGGCTATCATAAGTTGAGAAGACACAATCCAAGCATGTGATTGCAAATGACAAAATGAAAACACGATCAAAACTTGTGAATTACGATACACTTTTTAGCCTTAACTGATCAACTAACATTGTCTGTGCATTTGCGTGGCACCTACTGCGAAGCCCAATAAAATTATTCTTGACTGATGAACAACTTAGTAAACTTTTTTATTTGATAGAACAGATTTTTCTGTAAATAACCACATGCAGAAAAAGATGGAGAATGATTATGTGAAAACTAATTGAGATAGAAATGAACTGTTGATGTTTTAAGTTTATATTTTCTTTTTAATCAGCTAAAAATTAGCAAATATATATAAATATAAATATATATATAGCACCAGATATATATTTTTCCCAATGCCAAGGATATTTAAAAATAAAAGTATTTTAAAAAAGCAGAATTATTCTTCTTAAATGAAGATAGTTATTTCTTTAAATTAAGATTGTTTCCATTCACTGAAGTACCATTTTCAACTCTTTCAAAATCTCTGAATTTTAAGAGTCAGCTCTCTTGTAGATTCTGTTCCCTTCCCACTTTACTCTTCAAAAACAATCCCTGTAGTCAGCATCAACACAGTACAAACATTCAATAACCAGTAACAGTGGATTATGGAATCCTTCTGTCATCTACCTTGTATATTTTGGTAAAACACCATTCTCAGGTTATATGATGGTTCCAAAGGAATTTCCTCTCTCCTTTTCTTCATCTCTTCCTTCCTTGTATTTACCCTCTTTTCTTTCCTCTCCTTCCCTACTATTTGCCTCCCTCTTTCTACTTTTTTAACCGGGCTAAGTGGTAAGGAAATGCCATAAATCATCTTTTGGGATCTGAGACTGACCACATCTGAAGATTTACCTCAAAACAAAAATGAAACAAAGAGGAATTAACTGTACATGTCTCAGTTTCCTGCTGTTGTCAAGGGGTCAGAGTTAAATAAGATACTGGCTTTCTCTGGCCCCACTTGTGGAGCTTTTCTGTCACCAGTTTCTTGGTCCATTGCTACCACTATGAGTAGAGATTAATTTATGATACACATTGAATATAACTGGGTGAATACAGAACATCATCTAGTACATGACCTGGTTTCAACTGCGTAGAAACGGTTGATTTCTTAGACAGTAGGCTTTAGGGATTCACCAGGACTGATCCAGATACAAATAAAGGGTGAAAGATGAAGAAAAGTTCTTAGCCAGCTTCATCCAATTAGTCTAGCCTATATTTTAGTGTGCGAAGGACATTCTGGAAATTACAAAATGAGGATTTTAAAGTAGCTGGCGATAATTAAAGGGTTATTTCATGGAATTGATCTGTAAAAAATAAAAATAGTTTCTTAGAGATTTGATTTCACTCTCCATGATTCAATCACTCAGAGCTGTAATTTACCACTTGTTAAACTTCTCATAAAACACACACAGATACTGAATTTCTAAAGTGGTCAGTGTAGCCATATCAATTTTAAGATGTGGTCAGTCTCAGATCCTAAAAGATGATTTAGGACATGTCCTTCGTGGATAGGCATATGTTCAAGATCATGGCTTACATCAAAATTTATCATAATGCTAGAGTATAGGCGAGTACAGCAGGGTACAGTAGAGTGCTCAGGGCATTTGGTTTTATTTTTTTTTTAATTTTTTTAAAAGATTTTATTTATTTATTTGACAGAGACACAGCGAGAGAGGGAACACAAGCAGGGGGAGTGGGAGAGGGAGAAGCAGGCTTCCCGCAGAGCAGGGAGCCCGATGTGGGGCTCGATCCCAGGACCCTGGGACCATGACCTGAGCCGATGGCAGACGCTTAACGACTGAGCCACCCAGGTGCTCCAGGGCATTTGGTTTTAATTATTTCTTTTTAAGCTTAAAAGAGAGAATGTAAACATAGCCCACGAAAAAAATTTCAGCACTATATATTATAGGGCACAGCCATATGCTTAAGGATCTACACATGGAATTGTTACACCTTGTAAAGGTGTAGCTAAAAGAGTAGTTGTGGAACTCTGAATTCTATTAATTGGTGTAAGTGACTATTTTTAAAGATTCAGTTATAGTTTCATTCTGTAGATGAAATTGTCTTAAGAGTTAAGTAGTTGGATCCTTAGTACCATTTGATTTTTGGTGACTGAAGACACTCTAAAACCTTGTAGTAAAGGATCAGTGGAAAGAAATTATAATTATATCCGTCTTAATAAAGTAGCACAACACAATACTTATTTAATTTTGTAAAATACAGCTTCATACTACTGAATTCTAATACTCAAAACACTTCCTAAATACATGCTATATGCCTCAGTATCTATCTTAGGTAAAAATGAAAGTAATATACAGTTATGACAATACTGTGAGAAATGAAATTTTACGTGTAAAGAAGCCACTTCAAGCACATAGTAAATTTTTAAGAATTACTGCTGCTCTGGGTTGATATCGTTGTGGTTGCTGTTGTATACTTTGTATACAACAAAGTAGCATAGAAATATTAAAATTTATGATAAAATAGAATGATAGAAAATAAAAAGACTCAGAAAGCATAACAGTTTTTTGCTTATTTTACAGTAGTTACATGTATTCTAGTTTTGACATAATGAATATAAAGTTCATTTACATGATTTCTAATTATTTAAATCTGGACATTTTGATTTCATATTTCTATAGTTGCACTTTGATATTTTATGTATTAAATGCATAAAATTAAACAAAAATATTTCTATAAAAATAAAACACCCCAACTCAAATCTAAACTGCAGAATTCAATAAAAGATTTGGTAAATTCAAGAAGCAACATTAATTTTTAACTGAAAGGCCTATATCTGAATGGTCCTTGATAAGTGATGTTTATATTATCACTGTTTTTCAACTTTTGACAAATTTTTATCGACATAAATTCCTTTTGCTTCTCTGTTTATATTCTATCTAAAAACATTAATAAAATGCTTCCTTAGTTAGATGTCTTGAAAATACAGTGGTTTTGCTCAAGTGAACACAGTGCAGCAGGTTAGAGAGACAAGTAGTAACCAAAGAGAACAAAGAAGCTTTAATAAAAGATTCTCAAAAGTTACAGTAATTTCACAACATATAAGCAGAGATGTTGTTGAAGAAGTCTTATAGAGAAATCTAACTTTCAGAATCCTTTAAAGTATGTAGAGAATATTTTTAATAAAAGAGAAGTTCAATGATGGATGTAGCAAAATCATTAAGAAAAAGTATTACCTTAATAACCTTAGGATTATAATTTAAATATACCAGTCTTTTTAAGTCTTCATTATAATTATGTGGTAAATATACTATTATGTATTCACTTTTAATGTTCCAGGCCAGGATGGCAACATAGGAGGCTCCTGAACTCACCTCGTCCCATGGACACACCGAATCTACAGCTACACGTGGAGCAATTCCCTCTGAAAAAAATCCAGAAACTAGCTGAATGACTCCTACATATTGGTCAATGAGAAAAAAAAACAAAAACAAAAACAAAACCACATAGAAACAGGTTTTGGCATACCTTCAACTACTGGGAGCCATTAAGAACAAAGAAGGCAGCTTGGACAATCACTAAGGTTTGAGAGACAACAAAAGCTTAGACCAGGCTGAATCATAATGCTTATCTCCTACATGAAACCACTGCATCAAGACTAGGAGAGGTGACTGTTTTATCTAATGCTTAGAAACCAACAAAGAGAGTCAAAACAATTGAAGTAACAGAGGGATATGTTCCAAACAAGAGAACAAGATAAAATTCCAGAAAAGGACCTTAATGAAGTAGAGAGAAGTTATTTGATAGAAAGTTCAAAATAATGGTTATAATGATGTTCACTGAGGTTAGCAGAACAATGCATGAACAAAGTGAAAATTTCAACAAACAGAATGTATTAGAAAGTACCAAATGGAAATCACAGAGCTGAAGAATAAAATATATGAACTGCAAACTTCATAGAGGGGTTCAATATCAGATCAGAGAACTGGAAGAAAAGATGAGTTAACTCAAAAACAGAGCAATGGAAGTCATCTAAGAAAAGGAGCAAAGAGAAAAAAGAATGAAGAAGAGTGAAAACAGATTAAGGGATTCATGAGATACTATCAAAATGAAAGGCATCCTATAGAATGGAAAAACATTACAAATCATTTCTCATAAGGGGTTAATATAAAAATATAAACGTATTTATAGAACTCATACAACGCAACAGCAAACAATCTGATTTAAAAATATGAAGAGAAACTAAATAGGCAATTTTCCAAAAAGACATACAAATGGCCAAAAGGTACATGAAAATGTGCTCAACATCACTAACCATCAGGGAAATGCAAATCAAAACCAAAATGAGATATTACCACACATCTGTTAGAATGGTTATTATCAGAGTCCATAGTCTCTCATGGTTCGGCTCCCCCTCCGATTTCCGCCCCCTTCATTTTTCCCTTCCTTCTCCTTTATCAAAAGTATAAGAGATAACAAGTGTTAACAAAGATGTAGAGAAAAGGGAACCCTGGTGCACTGATGTGCTGGTAGGAATGTAAATTGTTTACGGCCACTATGGAGAACTG